TTAGGTTGAAGGCCATTGCTATTAGGAGCCATGCCTTTTAGGCTTTTAGGATTCCAGGACACCTGGACAGATCGCCGGAGAAGGGTGGCACCGCCGCCCACCACGAGTCCACCTCCGAAGTAGGTAGTGATCCTGACGAGGGCCAAGGAAGGAAAAGGCAGGATCGGTTCCAAGTCACGTTCCTACAGTATGTATTGTATATATATATATTTATATTGTAGGACTATATTGTATTATGTATCCTATATATATATATATATTCCTATATTCAAACACATTTCTTGCACTCCAAAGTGGCCAACCATCCGCCTGTTGGAAATTGCCAAAAGCACATTCAGAAATGGCTGCCCTTTCTGAATCTGATCCTCTGCTGATTTGTCGGATCAAGGGTCAGTAAAGCGGCGGAATTACATGGTGGTTGATCTAGGTTCCTGCTCATGGAATCGCCGTTCTTAGCGAAAAGAAGAACTTGTCTTATCTTTCGCAAAATCTGTCTCAAACTCGATGTTAAACTTTTGCAGGGAGCTATATATATATATATATCCTGAAGTCTTCTTGTTCCATACCACATACTGTACCTGCATGAGTACAAAAATCATCAAAAATCATCCTGTGGAAGGCCCAATGTTCCTGATTTGTCTGTTTGCGGTTGGTAGGGACTATACTGAGATAGGCTGTGGCAAGCCAGTCCCTTATTTTGGAATCATGTCCTATCAAAATGTGGGTATGAGTCTTCCAATCTTCCAAGTGGGCTTTGACATTCGCTCAAGTCGCTCAAACCTTCACGAAAGGCCCAGGCATGCCCAGGCTATACTCTATTGAAAATGATCTTTGTGGATCTTTCACACAAAAAACAAGACCATATACTTTCACGAACTCGAAACATCACAGCAACTTTTGCCAATGACATAACAGGCTCTCGATGAACAATGTCTTTACAAGGACCTGATCAACTACCACATGCGCCGGCAATCGAGGAACCCATCAAACCATAGCTCCTGCAAATGAGATCTGCTGAGTTTGGTGTTCAACTTGAGTCTTCGATCTTCTCAAAAAGACCGTTTAAACCAAAAATGAGAAGGATCGATCGACCACGCGATCCCCCGAAGCCCACCTCATGAACTTCTGCACCTTTATCTTCCACGCCTGGCAAACACTGCCGTTATATTTTTATCACTGACGGCTTTGCGGACGCCCGCAGAACGCCGTGCACGGCGTGAGCAGTGCCGTGAACCCATTCATGGTGGAAATTGGGCCCAGCCTTGTTCACATGATCCGTTGTGTGCACCCCTGAACTTTCAGGTGGTGTGAGCACAGCCTTCGAGGTGTCTTCACCTAAGTCGGGTCTGGCTGAAAGACTTGGCCTAAGTTAAGCCATGATAAGCCCAAGCGGGTCTCAATAAGGACCAAGACCCAAGCAATGCTGTTGCTTCACATAGCATTGCACATCAACCTTTGATCATTTTGGGGGGGTCCAGGCTCCGCATGGCTCCGCAGGTCGCTCAGATCGGTTCTGAGGCCGCAGCCCGGATAGTGATAACAAATCTTCGGCCCTGGTGGGGGTCCCGCCTCCGCGGCCCGGTGTGGTCGTCTATGAGTGGTTTTTGTCGAGAACCAATGGATTTTCTCAACCTGCATCGATCCAGAACTTGGAAGGGCGAAGTGAAGCGAAGGACCCTCACGAAGCGGGGAAAAAGAAACCAAAGTGACTTTCGAAGCCTCATGCCTTTTTCTTTCACCCTTTTACACAGCTCAGAAGGAAACCCACTTTCGATGCTCATTTTGCCTGCTTGCTGCATCTGAAGGAAGTTGGCACCTGGGGTCCTGGGAGCATTGAATCGAGAAATCCAGCCTTCGGACCGAAAACTCAGAGCCCTGTGGATCTTTTTCTGGCTTACTTCAACCAAAAAGCAACCAACAGTCCGACACCCGACTTCACCCCAAGCTCCAAGATGCCGGACGCTCGTTTTCCAAAAAAAAAAAGACTCAAAAAACTGCTCAAAGTTGCAAGGAATAGCTGATTCAAGCGAGCAGGAAAAGGGTTCCATACTTGACTAGTTGGTTTCAAGGATTCCAAGTCTCTGAAACCCCACGCCTGTCAGAAACTCTTCGGCCCGGAACCCATGCACGAGCGGAGCATGAGACCCAGAAGCCGCCAGCTCATCCCATGCGCTCGAGGCACGCATGGCAGTAGGTGAGGCTCGCAACTTGGGGGACCAGATCGTAAGAATGCTCCGTTCGTAGTGATGCCAGGAGCTCCGAACGTAGCGTCCTTGCTACTAGTAGTAAGGCCAGGAGCCCCTAGTAGCTTCTTGTTAATCTTCCAGAAATGTCTATGACAAACCTGATGTGTTCAGAGACTGTGCCGCTTCGCTTCCACGATTGGGAAAGCACTTGTAGGGACTGGTTGGTACAACTTGTAGACCCTCCCTGCCAAAACCAGTGGTCTTTCGGAGAAGAAACAAAGACTTGTCTTTCGGCCTGGTGGGTCCCTTCAAACGCTGAAGGGATGTTCTGACGTCAAAAATGGGATGAAACAATCTGGCTCTCAAAGAAACTGTCTGTTTCATGTCAGTCTGTTTAGGAAGAAGTGGGATGAAGCCATGAAGCCTTCTCAGTGTGTCTTGCAACTGTGCGAAGCTCGAAGTTACGGCTGCAGGAGGTCCAACGTGTCGTCGCAGCAAACGCTCCACAAGCTAGCGCCAAGACGCAGGCGCTTTGGGGCAGCAAAAAAAGATCTATATAGAAGGTTTAAAAAGGATGTTAAAAGGATTTTAAGATTCGAGCTTGTAGCCGGTGACTTGCAGGAACATGTTGTCCTCGCCGGTTTTGGGGGCAACACCATCTTGACATGTGAGCAAAAAACTGCACCCATTTCAGGGATGATGCAGCTGGGTCAGATCACTGACAACTGGATGAGGACCCTTCATGCAAACACAAGTATGTAGTCATGACAAGAAAACAAGTGATGCAAGCTGTCGATGTCTGTAAATAATGGTTCATTCCAAAGAAATTGATCATGTTTCTTTCGGGCTTCGCATTGTCCCACTTCAGAATGGCGATTCTTGTCAGGATTCCGGGGGTCCAGAATGCATAGGTTCCAACGGAAGAAACATCTGGCCAGCCTGTGGGTCGTAGTGGCAAGGAGAGAATCCTTCAGTGCCTCAAATTCTGTCACTTGAGGCTTCAAAAATCTGGCCAGACAAAAAGTATCAACCTCAAAGCTCAAAAACAAAGGGCATATCAACCCCACAAGAGCAGAGATTGGATTGCAGAATGTGATACCCTTTGTGTCTACTGATATTTCGAGGTTGGAAAACGCGTTGACACGCGTTCTTTTTGAAGCCAATTGTAAACAGGAGCTCAGATCGGACTTTGTGCTCATGCCTCAAGTCGCTTCGGAATGTAAGTATAAGTCTAAGTGGGAACAACTCTTGCCTGGTGGTCCCTCTCTTCATGGTGAAACTTCTTATTTACAAGGCCCCTCCAACTAAAAAAAGGAAGAGGAGTTGCCCAGTCTCGGTAGCACACCGCAAAACAGTTGGCACATCTGTGGCTCTCGATGCCTTGGCCGACAAGAATCTAGGCGAAGGTTTACAAAAGAGCCTTCCTTTGGTAGATCCGTTTCACAGTTGTGGCTGATGGTCAGCCGGGACCTTCTCTTGGGAACTGCCAGCCTCTACCCATTGGAAGGAATAAAACATGACCACTGGATCGCGCACTAAGAACCCTGTAGGCCCTTTAGTCAAAAGATGTCAAAAGTAGTCGATCATCTGCCTAAGATAACACACATTCTCTCACGGCCGTCCCAACTTCCATTGGCCTTTCAGCCAAACAGCCGAAAGAACCTGGTCTCAGCTTGCACGAACGGACGAACGCACGCACGGGAGAGTTCTCAGGCCCCCCAGACCCCATGACACGCTTCAGCCAATCCCAGCGGAAGGCATCGATATCCATCGACACCTGCAGGTCAACTCGGCCAGCAAAGCTAGTAGCGTCCGACCGCTCCGTTCGTAGCGATGCCAGGAGCCCCTAGTAGGGCTAGTAGCTTCTTGTTACTAGTAGTAATGCCAGGAGTTACTAGTAGCTTCTTGCTCCTAGTAGCGATGCCCTTTGCCAAGCGTGGAAAACGAACCTTTCCAGAAACCGGGTTTCGTGACGAATAAAAAAACAATTCGATTCAAACAAACGGCCAGGCCGACTGCTTGTGCTTTCACGCAGGTAGACTCCAGAAACAAACCAAAAAGCATCATGTCCATGTTTCTTGGCAGTGTCTTAAAACCATACTCACCTAAAATGACACTTTGTTGACCATGACATGCTATGACCATGTAGCCACCTCCAACCCAATGGATTCATTTCCCTGAGCCGCATGACAGACTTCCTGGCCAGTCCCTTCGGTTGCTCCAACATGCGAGGGGAACATGAGAAAGGCATGCTTCAGGGGTTAAGAGAAACTGGACAACCCCCCGCAATTGTGGACTTGATGGACACAATCACGCAAGCAGCTCTGACTTCATTTTCACCAGTCTCAAAGGAAGGTCTTCTGAGCGCCCCTCCAAAGACCTGAGCAGCCCAAAGTGTGCAAAGGGGTGTTTGTTGACCCAGCAAAGCTAGAACCCTTTACCACAATGGGAACGCATTTTGAACTCTTTTTGGTAAACCAAGCTGAAACACAATGGTTTTCATCGCTTTCATGTGGCTTCCTTGTTACCCTTTGATACGGACTTGTTTCAACATGAAGGGACCTCTGCAAACCGCCTTGGTACAAATGGTACAAGAAGCAGCTGAAAGCCCAGTCAGGGCCCAACCAAAGACGCCTTCGACGGGCCAAATTCTGTGAACTTCTGCTTCTTCACCACTTCTCGAGCCGTCTGAAAACACCTTTGCCGAAGGCGAGCAGCGACATCCAACGGCCGTTGTATTCCGGCCAGTTGTGCAGCATGAAGTTGTGTGTGCCAAACTTCTCCTGGAGGAGCACGTGGTCCAAAAGGTGGAAAACATGGAAAGAGTAGCTAGAAACTACTAGTAGCAAGGTGCTTTACTACTAGTAGCTTGTTACTACTAGTAAGCCACCTTGCTACTAGAAGCTGGAAACTACTGTTTGGCTAGCTCAGGTTGGGAGAGCTTTCTTGAACAAGGGGATTACTACTAGTAGCTAGAAGCATGGATGTGTCCCAAGACCACTCGAGTCTCGAGTACTTCTGAAAGATCCTGACACGGACTCTAAGACGCCAACTCTACACGTTTGGTCCATCGTTTTTGGTTTCACGCCTTCAGTGCATGAAACAAAATGCTTTGATCTGCATGCCCTCGATCCACTAAGAGCGCCTCGGCTGACCGCTAGAACGTGCCTGCAAATTGGTCAGGACAACTCCTGCTACTCTTGCCATCAGAAGTCGTGCCCATGTGCGCCAACAGAAACCATACTCCTTACGTGGGGGATGGTCATCCTTCACCTCCCAACGGTCCCTATTGAATGTGCTAGAAAAGTCCTATTGAAAAAATGGTGACCGTCCCTACCAAAGAGACCACGGCAGATGATGTGTCCGTCGTTGCCGCGCCAGGCGCCAGTTTTCGAGGCCGAAATGATACATTCAAGCAGGTTGAAACCATGAGCTGTCAAATCGCATACTCTCAGATAATCTATGATAATAGCTCCCCATTTGGAACTGAACATTCTGTAGACAATATGCAAACTGTGGATGAGAGTGAGGCTATATAGATGTTCGTTTGCCACTCTATGATAGTCACTATAACAACCACAGCAATCGCATCCGCGGAGTGATCCAAGCTTACCTCCTCCCCATAAAGTTACTGCGAAGGAAGCGGCCACTGCATCGCGGTGGTGGGCGATGGCGGCATAGTAGAGTGGGCTACGGCCATGTCCTCAGACACGGTCACAAGCCAAAAGATCATACCGTTCATGTACACCTCAACATGTGAAGAGAATTGTCGACCAATATTCACTTCGAAGATCTTGCTCTACGGAGTAGATGGGCCATGTTTCTCAAGCAAAACCCAAGGTATCCATGAGATGAACTCTCTTTCACATGGATGAGGCCGAGAAGGTTATAGGCTAGTTCGACTATTATATATATATATATTGCTTTTACTTCTATGTGTTCAATCACACTATATATATATACTATTAGTTACTATTATATATGAATATACACTACTGACTACTGTCTCACGAGTCTCGCAGGTGCCAAAACGCTCACAGGGTTGCATATGGACAATTGTATCCTGTATAACCAATTGTCTACCCTGGTAAGGCTGCCAGTAGAGATCTATCCCAGTCTTTTTGCAACTTTTTTGTGTCCAAAAAAGAACTGTTGACGCAGAAAAGTCCATGGTTTCTGCGTCAACCCGCAGTACACGACGTCCGCTCTGGTTGCCGAGCCACGATCCAGTGGATCGATCCGACAGCTCGCATCCATCAGCAGGCTGATGGCCTCCACATCGACGTCTGTACGGGTCGGAACAGCATGGGTCTGTCGCCACATCACAAGTGATAAACGGGCATCGCATGGGGCGGTCTTCACCTACATAGTGAGCTCTGCCTTTGGGGCTATAGAAGCACAAAAAAAGCAGAATGATCTCGTGCCTTAGCACGGTGTCTTGTCAACTCATCCAACTCTGTGCTCCGTGTGCCGTTCTCCACTTCCGATTTCGCAGTCGCATGGCCTCTTGCTGACCGTTGGCAGCAGCCAAATGCAAGGGTGTCCTGAGGCCATGTTCCACAAGGGCATGTCTAAAAAAGGTATATCATACATCTCAGGCAGAAGGCAAAGTCAAATCACTTAAAGGTCTTAAAATTTAAACCATAAACTTTTGGTTGGGAGATCGCCCCATTTCGGGAGAAGCCATTTCACCATCTTTTTGGACACAGCCTGGATTGGTCGTGTGGTAAAGCAACTACACCATTCTCACATGATGAGCTTCTCGACTTGGAAACTCTTGTAGAAACAAGAAGCTACTAGTAACAAAGTGCATCGCTTCTAGTAACAAGTGCCTTACTAGTAGTAACAAGAAGCTAGTAGAAACAAGAAGCTACTAGTAACAAGTGCTAGTAGTAACAAGAAGCTAGGTTTCACATGATTCACCTCCCGCGTTTCAGCATCTTGCTCACCTGCGAGAAGCAAGTCCGTTCCTTTCCCAAGTAAGTCTTGACACACCAAACATCGAAATACATCGAACTAACTTTGACCGGCGAATGTTGGCATCCATATGAATTACTTGAGATCTGTGCGAACCCTGCCCCATGCCCTGGCTTCTAGTTTGCTCGCAGGCTGCATCAGGAAATAGCTCATCCCCATTGGGTTGCTGGTCACGGACCAATCGAAGACCGATTCAGATCGGTGGTGACGGGAAGACATCCCCCCTTTAGCGCCACCATGACAGTATATAGTTTATAGTTATAATATGTTATGTCACTTATATAGTCCCCTGTAGATTAACATGGAACCCCCAAACCACTGGGTTGGTCTTCGGAAAATGGTCGAAACCACCGGTCAATTGGTCGTCCTCGAAACCACCGCTCCCTTCTCCTCGCCTTTCGTCCAGGTCCAAAGCGTCCACCTCCGCCCAGTCGGTGACACCCGAGAATCCACACCGCTCGGCGGCGGTACGGATTCTTGGTCGTACGGACATGGGTCATTGGTTCGGAAGAAACAAACACATCTCATGGTTTGTCATGTTTAGGGTTTAAAGCAAGCATGGGCTGCCAGCCGGGAACGGCAATTGGAACAAAAAAAAGAAAAACGATGAAAAACAACTATAGCATACTATAGCACAGTTCGGACATGTTCTTACTGCCTTAAATATGATGTTATCTTAGATTTCAGAGTAGATGGCACAAATCCCAACTAAGTGCCTCAGCACCGGCATCCAGCAAGGCCTCCATGAACCAGCGCTCGCAACAGCCAACACACCTCCGGAGTTCACACGAGCACGCTATGACCCATGACAGTTGATAAGACATAATAGGAAAGGCCCAACCTAATGGCGATGGCCTCCAACCTAAGAGCGATGGCCTCCAACCTATTAGCGAAGTCCAGAAATACAAGTGGGTGAACGGTTCAACAGCTCCGGCATTCGCAAAAAAAAGAATCCAAGTGAATGGGCACAACCAGCGTTCAACCGGGCCACCCGAACTCAGAACCACGAATCCCACCAAGTGCATCCAAGTGCCATAAACAGGGTACCGTGCACCTCATATTTCTTTCAAAGAGATAAACATCTTATCAGAGGCCATGGAGGCCATCATAGTCTTCGGAATATGTTGTGTTGATGCAGTGAGAGGTAAACGCGATTCTGGGGGATCTCTAGACCTATGTTCTTCTCTTTAAAAAGGCCTGTTGCTTTGGTGTGAAAATAGAGTTTGTGGTCAAGCCTTCCGAGCCGGGCGAGGTATTCTCATCGAACTTGCGGTGCACAACAACGTGGGGCAGTGGTATTTCTTCGCATCAGGTTGCTTGCAACCTGCTGGGGCTCTTATGGGGAGAGCCGACCCCATGGTTCTTTCGCGTGGCAAGTTGTGCTCTGAGCGCGTGCCGTGCGCATTTCGGACTTGGTGTGATCACGTTTCATGGCAGGCGCAAGAGAATTGTCATGTTTTGGTGCTTTCAAGTCGACTTAGGAATGAAAGTCAAAACCGGCAGCCTCACATTAAAGCCCTAAAACCCCTAAACATTGATTGAGTGTCGAGTGTGGATTCATCAACGCCTTGTATTTCTCGATGTCTTTCTTTTGCCTAGTACTTGTCACGGCAGACTTTCTGATTCTTCGGTCAGTGAGCTTCAGCACATCCTGACCCCAAATTCTCTCGAAGGCCACGGAGGTGCGTTTGCATTTTTTCCTTGCTTCCCGTGTAGCAAGACAGGTGCTTTGGCTTCTCAGTCATGTGTGTGTGTGTGTGTCTGTTGACTCATAGACTCATGGGCACCAAGTCATCAGGCTTCATCAGGCTCATCCTGTCGCACACCACTGCTTGACTGCCACTTCTCAGAGTGACTAGCGCGTTGAACCTGTTTTCATCCGGCCGCGACAGGTGCGACAGGAGCCGTTTTTCCATGGCCACGGACATGGACACGTTCTTGTAAGGAGGGTCATGCCAACGCAACCAAACCCCGCTGGGAGAGGGGAGAAATGGGATGAAATGGGAGGTGACGGTCACTGCTTTTGGGAACACGAGTTGACTCTGCCGAAAGCATGGTGGGTTTGATTGATCCGAGTTCCCTCGCATCCCTGTTTCTACGGGTGGCAATGGCCAAACAATCTGCAGGAGCTTTATGGACCTTTAGCTTCCTACTGACTTTTACTCACATCTTGATAGTAGGTTCTTTCACCCCAGTCTCCCGCCTCGTTTCAGCTTCCATGGCCTCGGCGAGATAAGCACATGGATGGTACTTTAGTCATGAATAGGTCATGCCCAATACACGTTAAAAGGGCCTGTTATTTGGGGTCGCTGGAAGCTCCTTGAGATGGACCCAAACTTGGCAAATGCAGCACGTGGACATTCTCTTCCAGAAGCCCAATACTGTCAGACTGTAGCAAAGCATCGAAGAAGTATGATGTGTCACTCTGCTGCCACTCTGAAGATGAGGCAAAACTGGGCACTCCCGCATCTCCAACTGCTGCCCAATGCAGTGCTGTGCGCTTCATCGAGTCCCGCTTTCCACAAAGCTGAGCTCCTGCCACCGAAACACAGCCCCAAGTGGTAATGGTATAATTGGAGCAATATATGGGTATAGATGTCAAGCAATGGCATTAGGACATGTTCATTATTGTGTTGCACAAATCATATAATGATAAAGAAGTTGGTACTGCTGTTGATCATGTGCGGCTTTTAAGACCCCCCGAAAGAGGAGATGGGTTGAGCACCCTACCATCCAATATATACATTCCAATAGCATCCTTACTTCACCTGATTCTCATCTCAAAAAAAGACCCCTGGACTTCAGCCTTTCTTGAAAACATGTCCGTGGCTGTGACTATGCCTATCAGCTACTAAGCCCTTGGGGCAGCTTCGCAGGTGTGGGCCGTTGACCAACGGTTGACAAAGTGAGTTTGAAGCCGCCAACGAATAGACCGGTGCTGATCCGCTCCTTCAAAGTCAGCTCCAAGTAGGCGACACACACCGCACTCACAAGCTGAAGGTTCCTCTCTGCAGACTCTGGAAGTCTTTGCAGTTACCACTTCCTCTGGGCATTCGGTCAACTCCACTTTGGAAGTCTGTGATGCCTGGCATGGGTTGTCGAGGTCAAAGTAACCAGACCATACCCCTTTGTAAATACACCTAGCGGCCTAGCGCCAGCACCGTTAGCACCTCGATGTGCATCCAAAAGATGTTCCAATAACTTCCAATAGCTGTGACCCATCTCCACGCCAAACACCTGAAATCACCACATTCAGCTTATGCCCCAAAAAAAGGTGCTACAGAGAGTGGCCTACGGAGGCCTATGAGTCGACCCCATTTGGGGTGCTGGCGACCGAGTCAACCGTGAGAGGCCGACGAGCTGTTTGAGGGTTTTGTATGGCTGACAAGGTCCGTTTTTTTTCCCCACACCCAGAGAACTGGTGACATCGACTAGTGACCGGTTTCGTCCCAGTTTTCGGGAATGTTACCATGCTGCGACAGCGTCAGTTTCGGCGGTGTCCGATCTTGCCTCTTGAAATTCACTGAGGAAGTCCTCCGTTCGTGACTTAGCACATTGGTCCAAGAGCTTCTTGGCCTCCTGGCTTTGCTTCTTGGCCAAGAGCTCATGCAAGTCCTCAGGGATCGTACCATCTATTTCACGACCACGGTCAGTCGAGGAAAATGAACCCTCCCCAGCGCTGCAAGAAGTGACCTACAAAATGGATGTCCTGCCAAGCTGCAAAAAACACGGGATCACCAGAAAAGGTTTATGCCAAAACGTATTGTAAGATCTTTACATAGCTTGCCCGGATGTTTTTCTGGTCAGAAACTGAGACCGTCTCCTTGGCTGCCTCGTCCAAGCGACCCAGTGCATGCAAGGCCGTCGCACGGCGAAACTTGGATTTCAGATTCTGTGGTTCTGCTCTGATGCTGGCCTCTGCGTGCTCAAGGGCCGAGGCAAAATCTCCCTGCTGAAACGCCACCAGGGAGACATTCCGATGAAGTGCGGCCTCCACCATCAACGAAGCACTCTTGTACTTGTCAAAGCTGTAATGGTCGGTCTCGAGGCCATCGAGATCAACGAAAAGATTGGCACGAGCGAGTTGCAACAAGCCTGCGTCATAGCTCCTGGCAGTTTAAAGGTCTTGGACAAACAGAAACTGAAGTTGTTTCTCTTTCAAACTCATTCCAGTCCAGTCTCGCCCCTTTTTGTTGTCAATTAAGGTATTGCCACGTAGATGATCGTTCCTTTCCCATCATCTCCCTTCTCTCCTTCGCGCAGAATCAGCGCTCTCCTTCTTCAGCTCCTCATTCCCCACCCGTTTCGAGCGCCAGGAAGCTTTCAGCAGGCTCCAAGCCTTCTCAATGGTGCTCAACGCCTGCAGCGTGCCGAGCCAACCCTGGAAAATTCTGGAAGTTCCATGGCGCTGGAGGCACGGCCAGACAGGGGAATACAGAAAGACGTACAGTTGTCCTCTTTGCTCCGTGATGGATCTGGTTCCGAATTTCAGGCCCCCTGTAGATAAATTTGTGTTTAAGAAAAGTTGTCTTCGTTCGCGTCTTTTTTCAACAGCGGCCCTTTGGGCCTACTGAGGCGGAATAGTTCGGGGCGTCAGTCTTTCTGGAACGGAGGCATCAACGCACTGACCCTGGAGCCTTTCACCCCCCAGATGTGCCCGCACCGGGAGAAGAGTTCGAAAGGCTCCCCTTCGAAAGCCTGGTTGGTACAGGGAATAACAATGAAGAGCATATATATTTATATGTGTAAATATATATAATATTTTTTTTTTTGCACGCCTTTTCTGTGCATGAGTGCTCATGTGAACCATGCCCGCAAATCCTTTGATTGCTGGGCAACACAGCGCTTGCGGAGGCGCTCTGTGAGGTCGAGCTTGTCCTCCACGAACCTGGCCTTCCCACCACAGCGGGTGCATGTGGCCATCTTTCCTCTTCTCTCCATAGTGTGTGAAGGGTGCCCTTCCCACAGAGAGGGCTCCAAAGGTCCCACCTTGCACGGGGCACCTACAAAGGTGCAGAAAGCGTCCTCTCGACACCTTGCAAGTATGTAGTCATGGCACTCGGAGCAGCGCAGGTATGCTTTCTCAAGTCGCAAGTGGTGGACTCCTCTTTGCACACCAGTCTGGGCAGCTATGAGATCATTGATCACCTCAAAGCGAGTGCGCCTGGTGGGAGTCTTTGGGGTAGCCATCTGACAGGTGGAAGCCAAGGCACCTTTGAGATCACCGACCAAGCTTTTCGAGTGGAGCCTCTGCTTGCACTGGGAGCACTGAGCGCCAGAACGGAAAGCCCGCCAAGAATGTCCACCTGCGTCCGGCCGTTGAAGCAACTGTTGAAGGAGCGCCTTCTTTTGTGCAATCAAGGGAACCTTCTGAGACTTCTGCTGCTGGTCTCCTTTGTGCAAGAAGTGGGACTTGTCCTTGAGGAGTGTGTTCATCCGGCCCGCGGCGACACACAGGATGTCCCTGGTGTCCTCGTCAATGCTCTTTTGCAAATCCAGAATGTCTTCATTCCGGGAGGCCTTGGCGAACTTCCTGGCTTCTTTCTCAGCCTCTTGCTGGAAGAAATGCCGTGCAGCGTTGGGGTCGAGTTCTTTCTTCCCAAATAGCAAGGGCCGAACTTGGGTGAAGTCATCCGGCTCAAGGCCCTCAAAAAGGTCCGGAAAACATGCGTAGGCTCGAGACATCTGCCAGGCCCGCCAAACAGCATGGTCATAGATGGCAATGGTGAGCTTCTCCTTGCTGTGGAGTGCCAAATGTTTCAAAGCATAGAACACAGCCCTGCTCCTGGTGGCCTGCCCCGGACAGACGCCCTTGAAGGTGGCGACAAGCTTGCGGGTGAAGACATGATGAAGACAGATCACAAAGACAAACCTCTTGTGGCGGACGTCCTTGCAAGTGGGAGCAACCGCCAAAGACACAGCATGGCCATTGGGGATGTCAAAGGCCTCATCCGGCGTCCAGAGGCCATCAACTTGGAAAGTGCCCAAGCCACCCTCCTGGATGTAGAAGATGGACTGGACGAGACCCCGCTGCCAAAGCTCAGGTTCGGTGCCCGCTGCCAAACGCTCCTTCCACTGATCAGGAAGGTCTTTGGCTTTGCCCTGCCAAAAGCTGCACTGCCAGAGGAGGTGGATGAAGGTGAGCTCGTCCCCACACAAAGGGCAACGACCCTCTTGCCCGTGAAGGGTTCCCTGATGGAGGGCTCGGAGGCCCGGGCCGAGAGTGTCGCCCGACATCTTCTGCAAAGTCAGACTGACTTGCCAATCCAAGACCCTCTCCAAGTCATGGCAGCCTTCATACCTTGTGATACGGAGGAGGCGTTGCCAGCGAAATTCTTCACGAAGCTTGAACTGCAAAATGGGCCAGCAGTCAGTCAAGCTGAGGTGGCAGTCCGGGATACCACCATAACCGGTGCGCTTCCACACGTGCCCATCTGACAGATCAAAGTCGTAGTCGAGCAGGTAGGCTTGTAGGGCCTGAAGCGGGCCGTTGACAACCTGCCACCGATATCGGACTTTCTGAAGAGCGCCCAAAGCCACGTTCCAGCTGGTCCAGAAAAGGTGCTGAGTGCTCTCATCAAAGGAGTGGTAGATTTTCCAGACCGAATGCAGATGCTGTTCGATGATGGAATCTCCGGGGTCAGGATGTTGCTGGTTCATGTCATACACAATGTCAACGGAGCCAGAACGCTGAAGGGCTGCAGTCACCCTGATGTATTGCCTTCTCTGTGGGGCCAAACCGTTGGCCTGAGCCCCCCAAGACATCACAGGATGGATGGCGCTCTTGTGAAGCCTGAAACGGATGTTCCTCTGCAGCTTGAGGCGGAAGAGAATGCCAGCCCTCCCTCGCCCTTTGAGCCAAAAAGGGCGCAGGGCCACCTCCTAGAACCTTCAGAGGAGGCCTCCTGCGCTGCGGCCCATAGCTCTCCAAGCCCCGCGGAGAGCCCAAATTTGAGCCTGAAGATTGCAAAGGTGTAGGTGATTGATTGTGCCAAACCCCACAATCAGAGAGAGAAAAAGGGACATGCTTCAAAGGACATGTCTGAAGCCCCTGGGAAAAGGTCATGGATGAATGAAGCAAATGGGCGGTGTTACCCGCAAGACTGATCCGTGCCCTCGGTGCGTCGTCGCTTGGCTTCCTCATCAGTTTCAGTGGGCGGCCTTTTTAGCATGTTTTGAAGCTGAAGCTGTTGATCCTCCGTCAAACTGACACCAAGGGTGTTGATGAATCCAGCAACGGCCGCTGGGACTGGGTCCGCACCCCCTGCCTCAGGCAGGCCTGCAAGGTCAGGCTTTGCTGAGTTGACCAAATTCATGTACGAGGTGCTTGTGTCCTGGAGAGAGCGCTGCTCGGACTCAATGCGGCCCTGGATGGCCTTCATTTCATCCAGAAGATCCTGGTACGCCTTCTTGGTCGAGTCAATCCTCTGCTGAAGTGTGTTCTTCTTGTGCGAGAGGTCCTTCAGCATGGATACATGGGTCTTGAGCTTGGAGGCCACATCCTTCTCAGTGGGCGGGGATGGCTTAGTCAGCTTCTCCACAATTTCCCGCACATTGGAGGGGAGTTGAGCCAGATTCTCCATGAGGATGTCCTTCAAGTCCGGCCCCGGAGAAGGAGGGGGTGGCGATATCCCCAAAGCCTGAAGCTTCTGTTGCAAAGCTGGGTCCAAAGTGGTCCACGTAGGGGCCAGCGCCTCGGCTGTGGCTTTCTGGAGCTTGGTCATCTTGGGCGCCTTGCCATTCAAGCCGGGCGGGGGCGTCACTGGGAGCTGCTGTCGGGGCCCCCTCTGAGGTGAGCGGGATGGCGGAGCCTTCGAGAACCCCTGAGGTGGCCGGGGCCATTGCTCACCGCACTTCCGGCAGACAAAGCCTTCCCTCACCTTGTCTGACCAGATCCAGTTGAAGCAACCTCCACCGCCACATACTTGATAAGCTCTGCACCATTTGCCGCCTGTAGTCATGGATCACCTTGCCCTTTCCGAACTGGCCGAGGAAGGGTACAAGGAGGTAGGCGATCGTGCCGTCGAGCTCGCCCGAGTACTATACCCGGGCTTGAGGCTAAAACGGCTTGAGCCTTGAGCCAATATATATAATATATGTGTGTATATACGTATATATATATATATGCTTCATATGTGCATTCACCTGTTGCCTGTCTATCTTCGTTTTCGTCACGGCTGCATACCATGCTCTAAGTGGCTCCGCCCACCTGAATGTGTCGTGGCTCATCTCGGGCATTCGGCCTATTGTGCCATTCAGCCTATTGAGCCCATGTACTTGACGAATAGATGGTCACATAATCATCGGCAAGCAAATAGGATATTATGCCCTACAAACCCAATGCATGTGACTCTTTTGGAATCTGTTCTTGGGATTGCCTCGTATTCTATCTATTCTATCTACTAGTACTTGAGGATGATCATTCAAATTGTTGGCGCCTGCTCTTCATGATCTTCATCCTCGAGCCACTGCACTATCTGCTGCATGTGGGTGTTCATGTGCCCGGAATCAGCGCATGGCAGGCATGGAGGATCCATGGTCGGCCACGCGCATGAGATGATTCTTTCGTGGAATCAGGTTCTATGGACATTATAATAGCTCTCCACACAGTCTCCATGATATATATATATATATAGTCAGGTTATCAAGTTGTTGCTTCTTTCAAGCGCAGCAAATATGTTCCATGTACAAAAGTCGATGTTGAAGGGTGTGACATGGCAATAATCCGTCTCCATTCATCAGCATTCACTGTTTTTGTTGACTCCATAGACTACAAGCATCCCAGACGATGCAGCAGCGTGAATCCGTGCTCAGTGGAATGCAAATCTCAAGTGAAGCCTCTTGAAGTCTGTCCACGTGCTGAAGAACCAGGGACTTTATTCAAGCTATTGCAATCACAAGAATCCAAACACTTCTAACCACTTCAGGTGGTCTTCAGTCTTCAGTGCTCCAAAGGTATCATAAACAGCAGGATTGGCTTTCGATACATATTCCCGCTTGCCTTGCAGCCGCACTGCTGGCCAAAGCGCCCCACGGGCCGTGGTGGGCCGGCTTCATGCTCCTGTGGCCGGTGTCCACATCGGCAAAAATCGGAGCTGAAAAAAAGAACTCGTTGTTGTGATAGATGTCCTCAAGGTCTTCAACCGTAGATGTTGCAAAGGAATGCAAAGGATAGGCAGTCGTTGCACTGATCGGCATGAAAAGTGACTGAAGTTTCTAGTGCAGCATTTTGGTTTCGCTTCCTCCAAGGGTTCCAGTGATGGACCTCCAGTGATGGACCTGGTTGACTCCTCGCGGTGCAACAGCGTGTTCTGCAAGTAGTAGAGGTCACCCCTGAGCCGAAGACCCAAAAGGCCCCAAAAGCGACTCGAGATGCTGCTGTGAAGCTCACGGATTTCGACGGAGGCCACTGTGCTTGGCAGTGGTTCTTTGCGAAGCTTCCTCCGGATGTCAGACCCAAATGCCGGTGTTTTCTTGGAGCCGACTGGCAACCATCCGTATACCGTATGTGATACATGAAACCACATGAAACCATTGGAGCTGAAGACATTCTTTACCACCTGGGTATGTAAGAGGGGCCCATGGGTAGACTGGTCTATTTGTCGAACCTCCGGGGGGGTCAGAAAGACTCTTCACGGGTTGCTGGGCCCTCCGACTTGCCCTGTGCAGATTGCACCTGCCCGCAGCGTCGTTGTCAAACCCCGGGCAAACCCTGGTCGAGCAACCAGAAAGTCAACATTGAGCACCCAGGAAATTATTGGCCCCTTTTACCAGCACAAATGAACAGAGTGCACGCCTCTTTCCCTAGGAAATTTACTATCTGCATGGGCCACTCCACAAAGTCTAGCTCTTATTCCCCACCTCTTGCCGCATGCTTGAAAGACAAGTAAGAATTGACTTTTTTTGCAGGGTTGTACGCAACCGATTTTGGCAATGATAGCTCACCAAAAACAATCATTGAGTGACTGCTTGAGTAAAAATAAGAATAAGAACAGAACAAAGTTGTAAAATGAATGCCACCAAAATACAACATCAGCAATCAAGAAGAACTGACTGAAGCCTTGGAAAAGAGTGCAAAGCAAATATGTTCGATCATTGAAACTTTAGAAGGTAGATAGTCAAATCCGACAATTTTGGTCACTGTGACAAAAAATAGTGAAGAAACAAGAGCAGCAAGCTATATTAAGCTACCAAATTTTATTAGGCTGAAAAGCCTTGCATGATACAATATCAAAATACAAACATAATGAACATGGAAACACATACACAAAAAAAGGGAACATACATAGATACTCTGAGAGTGGTGTGGATGCCACTTGAAAAAGCTACCACACACGCACACAAACATGGCAGCCAACTGATTCAAAACACTCCATTGCACATATACATGGAAGCTTGCCAAAGCTTGGTCCTGCCTAGGGCCCCCTGGGACAGGAGCCCTGGTCGTTTGAGAAAGTCCTTTAACATGGCACGCGCACTTGAGTTTATCTATAAAAGGTTCACTAACATAGACATCGGTGAAAAGCGTCAACAAAAATTGTTTCCAAGTATGGCAACCTCTTTTTGCGTGTGTTCACTAACACGGCTCCCAACGGTACGTGTTGATGCACTGTTCAAAGTGGTTTTGCTAGTGATTTTGGTGTCGCTTCGCCCCGGGATGCTGGGACTGTTTGAGAGCTGTTTTTGGTGTCCCCTTCTATGTTTGTTTGCGCTGTTGATTTCTGTGTTGGCCAACTTCTATGTTTGTGTGCGACCTTGGTTTTGGGCTGTTCCACTAACATGGAAGCCCGATTTGGATCATTGATCCTCGGCGTCCAAGTATGTCTCATAGAGAGTAATCTACCATAAGATTAGCAAAATTCAACTGGAAGAAATGTATCACATGATTCAACAAGTTGCCAAATGATATCTTAAATTGGGACGGTGTTACCTTTCCAGCTGGTAATAGGGATATGGACAGGTTTGAAGAAAACGCTGCAGGTTTGGTATCAGTAAATGTTTATTAGCCCGACGATACGCCGAATCGGTGATAAACGTCAGAACAACGTAACTATGCATTAGGCAAACACATCAGCCAATCGCCAAACTACCAGGTCGACTAAGACCACAAGGAAGCTCAACTCGGCAGATGCTGTCATCAATACGTGGCAGTAGAGGGACTGCAAATACACCTACCAAATATGTATATATATATATATAGGTAGCCGCATTGAAATCAATAAAATCAACACCAAATTTCAGTGTCCCTTTGCTATTTATTGTGCTTCTGAATGCTTGATGGTATCCAGGGGACTCATAAACTGCCAATCAACTGCATAAACCATGCGGTGTTATGCTTAATGTTGCATCTAGGACTGATAAAACATCTCAACCTTATCTATATATAATATGGTGAGGATCAAATAAAATTCTGGAGCAACTCACTACAAACAAAAACTAATATATATTCAATATAATGCTGGAGAACAAGGTGTGGATATAACAGCAGAGCAGGAACTAGACTTCAGAAAATCCACCAGATGCTCTGCATGTAATAAAACTTCAGACCAGATAATGAAAAAGTGTGCAACCACTGCCACTCCGCAGGTAAACATAAGGGCAAAGCTCGCGTAAAGCACAATCTCGGCTTTTCAGTTATATAGATGATACTAATATGTTTCGATAATCTGAAAAGTTATCATGCACACTCAAAAATAAGTGCGGCAAATGAACTAAATAAAAGAATATAGAAATCCCCAACAGTAAATCAAACATTGTGTTAGCTCAAAATTATGACAAGCTCGTTACGTGTTGTTTTTGTGCAATGAACTCTAAGGACAGCTTTAGCTTCGTGAGCTCTTCATTGGTAGATTCTGCGGTAACTGTGGTATCTCTAAGTATGAAAACTATGATGACTATTATATTGAACATACATTCAAAAAAGGGTACAGTAAATGTTCCAGCTAAAAGATTGACGAAATAGCTTTAGATGCACAAAGTCAGTTCCATGCATTACTGATTTTAAGATTTACAGTAATCTACTCATTGACAAGGGTGTATACACCGATATGATGGCATGAATTCATTCAACAAACTTGATGAAGAATAGTTACCAAGTAGAGAAGCCTTTTTACAAACAAATTTATATATGAAGACAACATGTCGAATAAAGATCGCAAAAGAACGCAATAGTATGGAAGATTATGGAAGCATTTCAACCACTTAACCTCACACATTCACCTTCTGGCGGAACTCTGGGAAGCGCATCTCCACGCGGTGGTTGTTTGGAACCTCACAAGCCACAGAGAAGCATCCGGTGCTCTACGCCTCCGGAAAGCGTCCGCTGAGGCGTGCACGATCTTGTAGCCGCAGGGGTTCTTGCCCTCGGAAAAATCCTTGGGACATCGTCAGCTGTGCAGCTAGCAGCGCATCGTCACATCGGTTTACTAGAAGCAAGAAGCTACAAGGTGGAGGCCATCGCTATCAGGTTGGAGGCCATCGCTACTAGTAACAAGGATGCTACTAGTAACACCGGCATCGCTACTAGTAACAAGTGCCTTACTAGTAGTAACAAGAACGCTACTAGGGGCTCCTGGCCTTACTACTAGGAACAAGAAGCTACTAGTGACA